TTGTTTATTTATTATACAGCGGTTCTAGTAATTAGTTAAATTTTTTTTTAATTTGAAATATTATAAATTCGAAAAACGATACGTTCCATTTTTGGAACATTTGCATTGTTTTCTAAAACCTCAGGATGACCCATACTATAGAGATTAAAAACGTTAGTAATAAAAATCTTTTTGCTCAGCAAACATTAGGTAATATATTGATTTCATGTAAGATGTTTAAAGATTTTTTTTTTTTTTTTGCACTTAAATGTATGGTTCCCGCAACTCAAAGCAAGGAATTTTTATTATAATTTAAATAACTTTGTATTTATACTGTACTTATTTTAAATAATTTTATAATTCTGAAGACGGCCATAAAATGAAAGTCGTCCCGAAATGCATATAATAATATACGCAATTAACCAGACAAAACGAAGAATTCTATTTATTCATTGAATTATCGAGAGAGTCATAAATCTGCAAAGGCAGAATTGCCGAGTTTAAAGAATTATTTAATATATAATAAAAATTAAGTAAACACAGTATTATCGGTTGAAGGCCTCCAGGGTTTAATTATTAAACTAATTGATAATCTGTTTTAATTATCTCATTGAAACGAGACGATGTAAGATCAATCCTTATCGTAATTTAGTGTAAAATAATTTTATTAGCATCCATAAGATGTTTATGAATAAGTTATAAGATAATCTAACTTACTTTGATTATTCATTTTCTCAAAATATTTCGCTTTCGATAAATTTGTATTCGTAAAGAAAATCGTCGAATAATTCACTTTGACAATTGCCAAAATTATATTATTAGCATTTATTGTTAACGCCAGGGCTGTGGAGTCGGAGTCGGAATCGTGGAGTTTTGGTATTTTATCCGGAGTCGGAGTCGGAGTCGTCAAAAAATCCGCCGACTCCGACTCCTTTTTACTTCCCAACTTCTTATGTAGCCTATATAAAACGGAAAAGTATTGGAATCGTGTCAAATTTTATCCTCCAAGTTTTTTTTTTTTTTTTTTTTTTTTTTTTTTTTTTTTTTTTTTTTTTTTTTTTTTTTTTTTTTTNACCTCGAATCTTTTGCATATCTCGAAATTTCAAGGTGTCCTGAGTCCAAAAATGTAAAAATTTGGAAAGGGTCATTTTTTGACCGAGCGCTAGACTTTTCCTCTGTTATATATAACAGCCGGAAAAGTAAAAGTTATCGAATACATATTTATATATTACTTAGAGGAGTCTTTTAGCTTTGGAATAAAAAGTTTCTACGTTGTATCTTTATTAGAATTCTATTTATTGAATCTTTTATTCTGAGGTCACGTGATGACATCAGAATTTCCGGGTCTCTTTCGGCAACAAGTCCGCTCCTGTTCGGAGTCGGATTCGGAGTTGGAGTCGGTAGATTTTTACGCGACTCCACAGCCCTGGTTAACGCAACAATAGAGTTTCCAGTCTACGTCACGAGTGACGTCATGAGCATGCGCAATTGTTCGGAGCCACCTTTGTGGTTTGTTTACGTTTTATTTGGGTTTACACGCGCATTAGCTGGAAATCTTGAGTTGTTTATTCCTCACGAATATCACTATAGTGAATTGTTGGGTGTAATGCTCAATCAAGAACAAAGTAACATCATTTTTTAAAATCCCCGGCATTATTTGTCATCAAGGACCTCAAACTGAGGAGCTTCACGACGAAGGCAATCTGACNGGTCCGTAACCAATCATATGTGGCGATGATCCATATCCAGTCATAGAAGGAGGGAGCCCATATGCAATCATTCCAGGGGATTGAAGCTCCTGTCTCATTGGTCCTTGTTGATACATTTGTAATGAATTCTGAAATATGAAGCATGGAATTGATAAATAATAAGAAATACGTTAGCCTATTAGTAATACAGTACCTAATATTGTAGATAGGTAAATTAACATGTATATTATAGTTTAAAGAATCGCCATTGGTTCTCAAATATTTGTATTATTAATGATAATAATATAATAATAAGTCAATATGAATTCAAGTTTACCTACTCCAACATAATTTGTGTAAATACTTTAAAATTTTCTGAGTTACTTATAATTGAATGTAAATATAAATTATGATAATTTGTCATTGATAGCATCAATAAGAAGCTTTACATAAATAAAGAAGACATGTATAATTTGTCAGTTGCTGACGGTCTACAACCATCGGTTGTTTTTACAATTGAATTGTACTGTAAGGATCCGAATCCAGACTTTCCGTGTGTTTATATCATTACATCATAATTTTACATTGTAGCCATACTTTCATTCAATAACTGTCAACTTTCACACCTGGGAGATAAACAGCTGCTAAGTTATTAGGCTTAATAACTACGCTTTCTCAGTACCTTTCGACCTAATATCTCGATTTCAACCATACAACATTAGAACAGAACAACAAAGTGAGGCAGTCGTCGCCCGTCTTTTGAAAGAGAAGTTGTCACTCGTACCTTGTCCTAAGTGCCTCAATATTCGGATATCTGTGAATATATCCTACGAAAAGATCATCGAAACCATCGACTAACACCTTTGCGGATACTGTTCTATCATTCTTGCGGATACTGTTCTATCATTCTTGCGGATACTGTTCTATCATTCTTACGGATACTTCCTCTACCGGATACCCGGACTGACATTCCGAACTTTCTTCCCTTCACCAAGAACGCTCGAGAATCTCAATCAAGACAGCAAACCAGGTATTTATCGCCACGCGAAACTTCTGTAAACTCTCTCTCTCAAATCGAGGAAAAACGTAATATCAAATACAGCTAATATCTATCATGTCAAATCGTAGAAATGTATAAAAAAAACTAGTATATTTAAAATCGAAATGTATGGCCTCTTGTTACCCATTAAACCTTTATTACTTTAAAGCATCTCTGAGTAAGTCACTTCCGGTGCGCTGTCTCTTCTTCCATCCCGACTCTGATCGCTCACACATGCGATCGCTCACCCGCCCGAACGAAGCGGTTTCTGTGTCTAGCCGTGAAGACACAGTGGTGTCAGTCCTGACGCAAATTGTCATTGCAATCTTCGCCGACGCGACGTCGATCATTCGGTCACGTGGTGCCGAAGTATAGGGAGGCCCTTCGGCATTGTCACAGTACTATTCTAATTGGTTTTCATTTTTGGTGTTTTATTTAATTAATTTGTGGACTAATTGTATTCTTTGTAATATTTTTCAGTCAGTAAACTGCATGTTTTTTTACATATTTTATTACTATTTGTCTAATCTTCAATGGTCTAATGCGAGATCTGAGTACTTGAAATGATTTCCCAGTATCAATTAACTTCAAACTATATTTGAATATTTTGGTTTGGTACTTTAGTGACTGTATTCTTTCTCATGATATGATAAACACTTTTAATTACAGCCGTAACTAATCGTCTAACCGTTTAATGTATAGATAACTTTGGGCTAGAAGCGTATCTAATTTAATTAATAACAATTTTTCACATTATTAGCTGTAAATAAACTAAGAACATTTGTCATTTTAATAAATTAAATATTAATTAATTATTCATCTTACAAACAAAAATAGAATTATGATAATACTCAATAACAGTTATTGTACAAGGTATTATGTAAAATTAAATCCTTTCTAAAACTTTTTTTACAATAAGATATTTTTCATAATACACTGGCGGAAATTGAAAGTGTTACACCCACCCAATATTGTCAAAGACATATGAAATTGGGACAAAAGAATCTCTTTTTGAAAGGTATTGAATGATCAAAAATTAAATGAAGTACATACAGTGGTATGGAAATTATGGAGACATTTGTTATGCAAAATTGCTATAGTGTTTAGTTTATAATTTGTGAACTGTGTTATGGAACATGACTTTTTTTGGTCCACATGCTATTGGTGACCATCTATGTCATATCGACAAGTGAGAACTCCGTACACCCAAATGTCTGACTTTGAAAGAGGTTGGATAATTGGCATGTCAGAAATGGGAGCATCATATCGTGAAATTGCCTGAAGGACTGGCCGTAGTGCGATGTCAGTACAAAGAGTGGTCACACGATGGATGCAGGAAGGGTCCAGTACTCGCAGACCTGGCACGGGTCCACGCAGAAGGACGACGCCACGTGTAGATCGCCATATTGTGCCGATGGCAGTTGCTGACAGATGTGCGATGGCAGCACATATCCAAGCAGTAGTTACTGCCAGAATCACCCCATGGACAATTGTAAACCAATTGCTTGATGCTGGGCTGAAATCTCGGACTCACATGCAATGTGTTCCCTTAACCAGATTTCATCGCCAACAACGGCTAATGTGGTGTGCTGCTAGACATAATTGGACACATAA